AAAGAAATTGAGACGTTAATTAAGAGAATAAAATTCTACAAAAAATAAAAATGAAAAAAAAATAAAATGAAAACATAAGAAATAATAAAAGAAATATAGAATGAACTCACATATAATTTTACGCGGCTCGAAGAACTCTCATATCCTTGAGGTTCATAATTACCGGGATTGGATATCAGTCTGACAGTGTTCACCATGAACCATCCATAGTACCCCTCATATACGAAACCGGGATCTCCTTCCTTCAAATCTCGTAGCACGTACTCTTCTCTCCTATTCCAATGACGATGTACTGCGGAATGGTGGTCCACCCAATTATTGCTAGGATATCCAGACATACTGTGGGCGTGATCGAGAAGGAATGCTGCGTTATCTTTAATCATGGGGCGCTTGGAAACATCCTGTATATATCCAAATTGTCTTACGACTCTGCCCGACTCGTGGGGTTCCTTAATAGCCCAACAGAACATCTAACACCTGGGAGGAGGGAGTTGCCGGAGGGAGGAGGGAGGTGTTAGGGTTTTTTAATTTTTAGAATTGGGGGAAAAATGGGAGGGGGAAGAGTTGACCGGGAATATATAATCCCGTCAAACTCGGATTTCCGAAATCCGAATCCTTTGTAAATTCCAATGAGCTCGGATTTCAAAAATTCGAGTCTACCCTGTTTCTCACCAAATTGCAACTCTCGGATGGGTTTCACCAATTCGGATTTCCGCAATCCGAGTCCTTTGCAAACTTTAAAAAAGTTTGAGCTCGGATTTTGGAAATCCGAGTCTCCCCTGTTTCTCATCAAATTGCAACTCTCGGATGGGTTTCACCAATTCGGATTTCCAAAATCCGAGTCCTTTGCAAATTGAAAAAAAAAGTCTGAGCTCGGATTTCGGAAATCCGAGTCTCCCCCGTTTCTCATCAAATTGCAACTCTCGGATGTTTTCACCAATTAGGATTTCCGAAATCCGAGTCCTTTGCAAATTGAAAAAAAAAAGTCTGAGTTCGGATTTTGGAAATCCGAATGCTTTAGAAAACCTTAAAATGATGAGTATTTTGCACAATCCCAAAACCTGTTATGAAACACTAGTACAAATCCGAACAATTCAATATTCACATTACAATCCGAATTTATCAATGTTGACATAAATTTATCAAACACTAAATGACTCTAAATTTTAGCTGTCATTCACAGGTCTTCTATCTACTCCTGGGTGCGAGAACGGACATGAATTGGCATCATGACCTAGTTGTCCACATCTCCAACATTCCCCCCGGCTCCGGCGTCCCCTTTAATCCATTTGTATTCTATGTCTCCTTTTTTGTCTTCGGCCCAGTCCCACATGCAACACAAGACGCTCATAATTCGGAATGATGTTCCAATTGACCATCGGCCAGTGTTCCTCATCGGGAACCGGAACAAAGCCAGTGTAATCAAATTGTCTGCGCCACGTTGGAAGGCGCCACACACTATGGTATAGATCAATAGGCCGATCCCCTTTTCTCCGACAAACTTGGAGTGCGTGCGTACAAGGCATCCGGTACTCTTGCCACTTCCTGCACGAACACCTATGTTTATCGTACTTCACCTATGCCCATCTCACAATTTCATGAAGGCCGTGAGCTTTCAATGACACACGCATCTTCCACTCACATGGTGGTTCACCATCCTCACTTTCCACATTAAATGTTCTGCACCGCACAGCCCACGTCCTTAGACTACTCGCGGCGACCGTATATTCCCTTTTATGATGGATGTTCCATAGTTTTACAGCATGCTTTGCTTCTGATTGAGATTTGAAACAAACACCAATGTCCATTCCTTCGGGCGTCTCATCCCACATCTTAAGAGCAAACTCATCCTTGTCCACTCATGAGGCATCCCATTTCCCCATCTTACTATATACATAGCGTCGGGGCAATGGATTACAATCCCTTTCCTCATTTTCAAACCTTTCATCATCATTTTCTTCAAAATCACTCTCTCCGGAGACATCACAGTCTTCTTCGCTTTCACTTGGAGCTATGTAGTCGGAATCCGACTCTTTCCGGTAGTCATCTTGTGCAAATAAAGGTGTCTCCTCTTCATTGCGGTTTCGAGAAGTACTAGCACGTTCCCCCCTTGGAAAACCACCAAATGACACGTTTTCCAAACTCGCCTCTCTTTCTTCTTGAGCGATATCTTCCAAATCTATGTATAAATCCAAACATGACATTGGATCTACACGGTTCATGAACTCTACGTGCGAATCATTCTTGATTTTCACTACACGCCTACCACCGGGACTATCGAAAATCAAAGAAAGGTGGAGTTTCACATGTGCTGGATCCCAACCAAGTGTCATACAAATCTTACTAATCAATCCCTCATATGACAAACCATCATCCGGCATATTCGAAAAAGTGTTGATGCTACCGTTCTCTATCACATACTTACTTGTATGATACAAATTAAGCATGTATGATACATTACGTGCCATTGATAACTGTTAAAAAAAACATCAATAACTAATCATTTCTTAATAACAAAATCAACAAATACACCATACATACTCTATTCATAATTAAAAAACATATAAAATACTAAAATACTTATAAGTCAACTTCGATATCTCATTAACAACTATGATTTCTCATCTCTAACGTCAAAATCAACACCTAAAATATCCAAACAACTAACCAGCATAAACCCTAATCTATCATACATCATTCTAACAATCAAAATAACACAAAACTAAACTAAATAACATGGTTTTGCAATCCAACCTCTTTCAAATAACGATTCCCACGTATCTAGAGGCAAGAATGCATTAAAAGCTCCTATTCGCCCTTGTTTGACCTGCAAAAACAGAAAATCCAACTCAGGTCTCGAATAAGAACTATCTGAAATTTTTTTTCTTTTATAGCACGTTAAACTCGGATTTACGAAATTCGACTCCGTAAGTAACTCGGATTTTCAAAATTCGAATTACATTAGTTTCGGATTTCATGAATCTGGATTTGGTTAATTCCGGATTATTTTATTCATTTTTTGGTCCTCCAATTTATGGCACATGCCTACTTCTACCAACAAAAATTTAAGACAGTCGGATTTCCAAAATCTGAATTCATAAAACCGGATTACGGACTTCTGGTTTTTGGATTCAAAAATTTCGTGCCGCGATTTTTTTTTCTTTTTTCTTTTTGTACACTCGGATTTTGCAAATCCGAGTACTACTGTTCATTTAAGGAGTCCAGGTCCTGGACTTATTATTTGAGTTCAAATTTTTCGCGCCTCAATTTATTATTTTTTAATTAAATTCGGATTTCGCAAATCCGACCGGCACTGTTCATTTAAGAATTTTTAAAAAACTATTATTCAACAAAATTTATTTAATTATTATTTTATTATTAAATATAAACTTGGATTTCCAAAATCTGAATCTTTAATTTTAATCGGAACTCGGATTTCAAAAATTTGAGGAATATAATTCTGTCCACAAATATTTTGAAAAATTTAAATTTGTCCACGTTTATTTTAATTAATTTTTTTTGGGAAAAAGCCCAATTCCGCAATTCCTACTACCATCAAACTAAACAGACATTTCTCCATCTCGTGTTTGAAGTATCTTAAATAGCCAAATCCACCCTGAATTTATCGCCCTTATTACTCTGCATTTTCATCGCAGGATTCTGGTGCGCTTGGACGAATATAAAGCCACTATGAAATCACAACGTTGCAACGTAACAATGTACTTTGTTTAAGTGATTTTCTCAGTTGTATACGCTTATCCCTTCCACATCTCACTAATGCTAAAGTTTTACAAAATAATAATATCATCGTTTTTTTTCTCTCTTCAATAGGAACGAGGGTGTTATGTGGTGGTGCATACTCCAAATTTATTACTACCTCCGTCCCAAAAAAAATAGTTCACTTTGAATTTTCAAATATATGATAGTCCACATTCCTTATTTTTGCTTCGCCATAGGGGAACGTATTTGTTCACGAACAAAATCCTGTTTTACTCAATTACATATTAGCTTTATAAAATGTAAAAAAGGAAAAAAAAACAAAATAAAAAAAAATAGTCAAAACTATCAAACCTAATGAAAAGGTTACATCGTTAGGTTTGATAGTTTTGACAGTTTTTTATTTTATTTTATTTTATTTTATTTTTGTTTTTACATTTTATAAATCTAATATGTAATTGGGTAAAGCAGGATTTTATTCGTGAACAAATAAGTTCCCCTAATGGCGAAGCAAAAATAAGGAGTGTGGACTACCATATTATTTAATAACGTGTTACAGAAAAAGTCATTAATTTATAAATATTCCCTCCATTCAGATCCATTAATTAGTGCAGTGAAAATAGTCAATTCTACTTATAGAATGCGTGAATCTTCGGATGCAATCTTCTGCCCTACTACGAAAATATATGCTTGTACATTTCATAATTACTAACTCTAAGGATACAATTTGTGAGAGTATTTTGCCAAGTATACTGTCTCAAAAGCAAAAGATATGCAACATTCTCAATCATAATTCAATCTTAACAATTTTATAAATGTATCACTTAAGAGTAGAATCCAGAACTGACAAGACCAGAAACTAATTAAGCACATGGAAGCAAGCTTCACTTGTTCATTTCATTGACAAAATGAAGAAGGGAAAAATAAAAGATACTAAAACATTCAAGATATTGTAAGAGTGTCAAAATCAAATAGTCTCAAGCAGTGACTCTATGCTTATAGTATATTCATCTGTTACAAATACCATTATACCAACATCGTCCAGAACATCAAGGAATTGCATCAAAGTATTTTATGACCACAAGAGTGAAGTAGGCAAAATCATATATGATGAATGAACTCAAAGCCTAAGCCAGAAAAATCCAGCTATACTTTTGAGCCTTCAATATCATTTTGAATGCAATAATGATACCATATATAGAACACCTTACCAAATAAATACGACTAGTCCAACTAATCAACAAAATGCAAGATATGGACTAAAGTAAAATCATTAGAGGATCCATTCATTGACATGTAAAAGTACTAAAAGATCAAAAGAATGTAAACCAATTATCTTTACAACATCTGCAGGCCAGACTGTTAAGAATCATATCAAATAATTGGATTGATTACACACAAAATGAATTGAACTAAAACTAATATCATGATTTCATGAATGATCTGACACCTAACACAACTCTCTCAGTAGTCCTAATAGTAATACTATGGCTCTGAATCCACACACAGACAAACACACCTGAAAGACAGAAGTTACAGCCATTTATCCAAACTTTGCAGAATCTACCAACAACGAAAACCAACCCGAAAAAGCCACTAACATCTCCATGGTATTACTGCTGTAAGCTCTGTTTTTGCAGAACAGGGGTCTGATCAGGAGATCATCAATTTCTGAATCAAGGGATTTCGTTAAGCATGGTCATGAATTCTCCAGCAATGTTCTTGAGGGCAGTGAATCTTCTTTGAAGCTGCGTCATTCTAACAGGGTTCTTAAGCTCAAGCCATGGGATTCTAAGCTGACTTGGAAGACAATCGAACATTTCATCATCATTCAAGTAGTCCTTGCAGCCGTACCCTGGGCAACCCACATTGATTACTGGGACTTTGATCTGCTGCTCATAATTGTTGGTGACATTATCCTTGAGACAATCATAACAGAAACAGTGTCCACATTTGGCAACTCGTCTCAATTGTTCAGCAGCTATATCCCCTTCACAAATCCCGCATTTGATCCTTTTCTCCACACTTTTTCCATTCTTATTCTCTTTGGTTGAACTCACAGTCTTCTGCTCCTTTCCTTTGTTAGAATTTTCATGAGGTGGATCATCAGAATTGCTGGCACCTGTGAAGACCCAAATGGGAAAAAAGAGAGAAAAAAAAAATCCTTATTAACTTCTAAGGTTGATTCATTGGTTGAAAAATTGCTAAACCAAAATGAATCAGTTCTGTACCTCTTTGGTTCAAATCAGGGGATTTCGGAGCTGGAGCCTCATCAGGGTTATAAGCATCTGGGATGATAAGATGTTTTCCTGCAACAATCAAAAAATTATAAAACTTCATTGTTCTGATCTACAATAACAGGCAGCGAATAAAAGATGTACTAATTGAAGGGAAATTTTGGTGTTCAGAACTCAGAATCATACCTAGAAATTTTCGAAAGATTTCTCGTTGTTCTGGAGCTCTGAATTCAATTCCATCGCTATAAACATACGGATCATCTATATATCAAGAAACCACGAAAAGGGATGAAAAATCAATGCAATGGACATGATGGAAACAGAACTTCAACAAGAACTTGACTGCAATTTCTGTTAAATTATATATAACCACAAAATGTAACGCAATTGAAGAAATTATAACTAATAAGAAGAAATTCTACAAAAAAAAAAAGTTGTTTCCTTAATTCATTACCATCAGTCCGCCGTGGAGCCATGTGCTGAAATTCTGCCGGCGGCTGGGAAGAGATCTCCCGGACGTCTACTTGGACAAGATTTCGTGACTCATCGAAAACATACACCGGCTCAAATTTCACTTCACCATCCGCCGGCGTTCCAGATTCCTGATCATCAGTATGAGATTCTGGGCCGTTTTTGCCGCCAAGAACCGCCGGGGCTTTCTTCCCGGAAGAATCTTTCAATCCCACTAATGCTTCTGCTGCTTCCGCTTCATCTTTCTTTACTTCCTTCACCTCATTAGGATTTACCTTTTCCTTCAAGCCCTTATCGTCACCATGAACAGCAAGATTTCTGCTGGATGAACCTTGCAAACCCCTGGAGCCTGCTACTCCTTGTTTCTTCTTGGGTTTCCCCTTTCCGGCCATTGCCTTTTCCCTTTTTGTCTTAAAGCGTAAAAAGAAATCCCAGTCGATCAAAACCCTGAAAAATAAATGAATTACAGTGAATAGGATTTCAAGAAGAAGATGAAATACAGAGTAGCAAGGAAGAAGACGACGAGAGATAAGTAGGAAAAAACAGAGTAAATGGGAAAAATGAGGCGTGTTCTGTTCTGTTAGTCAATGAATTTATACACTTCTTGCCTTGACTTTCCATAACCGCCCATAACAGACTGAACAAAGTAACTACCAATTGCACCATCAGTCCCTATATTTTTATGGAAATTAATAAAAAAAAAACCCGATTTCTTATTACGGCCTTTATCAAGTTGGGAATATTGGCGGATACATCCCAACGTTTATCCTTTACTATCCAATTCATCCTAAACTTTTAAAATTGAGTGATTACATCCCAAGATTTTTAAAATTGGGTGCAACCATCCCATGACCTGTTGTTAACCTAGAGTAACAGGTAAATTTTGCTTAATTTCATAAATTTTACTTAGTTCGGTATTTACTTCTTTTGCTAATTATTTTTTCTTTTGTATTTTAGTCTGGTTAATTATGTCATGCCATCGGTCCATCTCTCCCAATACTATTACGGTTACTGAACAAAATATTCGGTTTTTATTTTTTTAATCTGTTTAAAAGTTTTAAATAATTTTTTCAAAATAGTTTATTAATAAATGTCCAATTTCAACATATCTTTCACATTTTCAACACTCCCTTTTACAATCTCAATCTAAAAAATACCTAAACACAATAAAAAAAAGCCAAACATAGGTATTCAATTTTTGTTTGAAACAGGTGGAATCAAAATCCACCATGCATTATTTAGATATAAAAAAAATTTTAAAAATAAAAAACCCAATTGCTTCTTCATAATTAATAAGGTCATAATGAGGTTTGGCAAAATTTTATTAAAAAAAAAATTAAGAGAGAGGGAGAGATAGTGAGAGAAAATACCAATTTTCACCTGTTATACCAGGTCAATTTTGTGCTGTTTCAGGTCATGGGATGGTTGTACTCAATTTTAAAAACCTTGCGATATAATCACTCAATTTTAAAAGTTTGGGATAAAATGACTAGCAGAGGGTAAACGTTGGGATGTATCCACCAATATTCCCTTATTAAGTTTTATGGTTATAATTCATTTCCATTTAATTTAAAGAATTTCATGATTTTGCTATACGATGATTTTTGAAAGCAATGTTATTATTTGATTATTACTATATCACTAATCGCCAAACAATTGTATTTCTTTTTCTTTTCATCAAGTTACAATCGTTTCTCTAAAGTGGAAAAACTTCACGACCTAATTTCATGAAACAAAAAAGTTTACTCTTTTATTTTTGGATTGCACGTATGTGATATGACACTTATTAGTAAACTATATATTAAATCAATCACTAACAAAATACACTTGATACATAATATCTGTACTCATTAAAAAAGTTTACTTCAATTTGTAAGTAGCGCGTGCAGATGACTTTTGTGGTTATTTCAATTTGTATGGTTTCTGTGTGGCAGCAGCGAAGAGTCTAGAATTTCAACCAATTCTGCACATAAACGTTCTAAAAATCCTTAAAAAGCAGTGCGATTATGACGACATTTCGATATTTTCTATGTTCTAAAATTATTATATATTGGGACGGAATAATTCTAAAGTTTGTTCAAGTATTTTAGTGCTGCAGTCTTCCCTTCAGATGTCCTCCAATTCGAGTAAAGCTTGTCGCATTTTGCGAAGGCTTGTACGTAACGAGTAGGCGATCGAGCTCGTTGCAAATGCATAATTATTAATATCTGAAAGATTAGACAAAGGCAGAGACTTAGTTATGTGCATAAATTTCTTTGGTGAACTAAATAATACCAAATATATGCCAATTACGATTGCTATCTTTATGAAATTTCTCGAATTTCATGCCAATTTTTTCCCGTTGAAAATAGTTACTCTTTTATCTAAAAAAAATAATTTACATGGCTCTGAAATGTATGCTAAAAACAGTATAAATATTAAAACTAAATGTAAACTATTTTTTTGTCACTGACAAGACGTAGTATTATATATTCTTTCCCATTACAATTTCAGCTCTTTTTCTTTTCTTTCTTTTTTTTTTTTTCTTTTTGGTAGTTCCACGCTACGGGATTGAATTTTATACTGATTTTGGAATCTTGTGATTGGGGTACGATGTTTGGGCGTTAATTTCTTAACAAGTTCCTGATTATTTCAACATTCAAGACAAGTTAGATACACTTCGGTTACAGGAGAATATTTCTTACCTTGAAACAACCAATAATCTAGTGTTAGCACCTCTGTGAATGATGATTTTGAAACTGACGAATCTTGGATTTGTACGGTGCTTAGTACGGGCGGCGATGATGATCTAGGCGGCGGCGAACGGCCTAAAACCTGCAAGACAGAGCCTCGGGTATCTCTCGAGGGTAGACGCTCCGATATTTAAGTCAGTAAAAGAATAGAGATAATAGAGAGAGAAAGATGTGTATCGTGTGTAGAAGGTGTAGGAGATAGGTAGAAGATATGTATTATGGGAGAGAGAAAGACGCTCCGATGTTTATATAGAGGTGGTGTTACCTGTTTCCTGAAACCTAGTCGTATTAGGTTTAAGCGGTGACTTAATCTCCAAGTAACCTAATCCTAGGCCTATTTATGACTCGTCAAGTGGCCCTAGCAAGCCATATTTTCGAGACTTGATGAGAAGAATATGGGTTGCTACAGTGTTGTGTTTCCTCGAGTTTCGTAGTGTTGCCCCAGTTCTCAAACTTTTTCATTCTCGGGTGTCACCTATATAAGATAAAGAGAGATAGAATGCCTCGAGGAGGTCTTTGTGTTAGAAGAGTTCCTTGTTTGCGCGGTGGACCGCGAGTATCCTTGTTTGCGCTGTGGATCGCAAGTATCCTTGTTTGCGCGGTGGACCGCGAGTCTCCTTGTTCGCCCGGTGGACCACGAGTATCCTTGTTTGCACGGTGGACCGCGAGTATTCAGATTCGTGAGATGGCAATCTCAGGATGAAGTTAATAGCAATAGTAAATTCTCAATGACAAGATAATAGCCAAAATCATTGACATAAAATATTTTAAATGCAAAAATATAAATATGGAGTTTGTCTCTTACTACTAATAATAACTAACCTTATTTGATACCAAGAACCGCTTTACTTGATATGAATTCGAGGTTCTTCTCGACCTTGGTCTTCTTGAGAGCTGGTAGGTCGCAAATACTCTTGGAATTTGCCTCTCTTAAGTCCTTCTTCGATTTGATTCTTTACAGCGCTGCAGTCTTCCGTCTTATGTCCGTGATCCTTATGAAATTCGCACCATAAATGTTGTGATCGTCTATAAGGGGGAGCAAGCATTGGTGATGGGGCCTCCAGCTCGTTCTTATGGATTTGTAATATCTCTGTTCGAGAACGAGTTAAAGGCGTGTACTCTGTACTGCTGAACTTGCACTTTTCTCTATCGTGCCCCTTGTCTCTATCATGCCCCTTGTTTTGCTCTCGGCCATACTCTGCCCCCGAGCCTTTAGCTCTGTTCTCGAGAATGGGCTTCTCGTGAATACTCAGAGTGTCTCTTGCTCGACGAAGATCCTCTTCTGCTCGAACTTCAGTTTCAACGACTGAGAAGAGTTGTTGCAAGGTATGTGGTGGCTCCTTTGTTAACTTTTGTCTCAAAGTCACGGGTGCACCATATGGGTAAAGGCCATTGGTGAAGGTTGCAATGATTGTCTCCTCAGATATTCCTTCTACTTGAAGCTGTTCCTTGGTGAAGTGGCAATAATATGCTCCAATAGACTCTTCTCGATCTTGCTTGAGGGATATCAACTCTGTAATTGTCTTACGAATCTTTTTTCCTTGGAAGAACCTTGTGTGGAATAAGGTCCCTAACTCATAAAACGACCGGACACTCCTCGGAGGTAGTGTTCCAAACCAAAGTTGTGCTTGTCCCGTGAGATAGGTAGGGAACGCCTTGCACACGAAATCGATAGGAGCATTCCTCAATCTCATTTCATTCTTATAAATCTGCAAGAATACCATAGGATCGGTATCTCCTTGATAAGCCTTCAAATCCGGAAGTTCAAACTTCTCGGGCATGGGTGTTTCTCGGATACGTTGGATAAACGGACCATCATCTTCCTCCTCACCTCCTTCAGATCCGAGAACCTTCCGTAATTGTTCCTCAAAGGTTGAATGTACTCAAGGTGGTGGTAAATTGACTCGAGGGGGACGAGTTTCTTCTCGAGTTACAAGGTGATGTCCTCGAGGTATCCCTAGGGTTTGGCTCACCCTCTTTTGAGAAAGTACCCAGATTGTCGACCAAGACTTGTCGTTGGTTGCTTTCGAGTTCGTGAAAACTCTTCACAAAATCTTGGAACTTGTTGAACAAGGTGGGTTGAAATTTGAAAAAGGCCTCCATAAGGTTTTGATCAAACAAACCACCAGACGGCCTGTTAGAGGATGGCCCTGACGGAGTTGCCTGCTTGTCCTTTTCAGCGGCAGGAGCAGGGGTTTGTTGTTTGCTTGTGCCATTATGATGTTGATGTTGCACAGCGTAAAGCATCAAAAAATTCCAACTTCGCTTTAAGAAATTTATTTGGTTGTAAGGACCAAAAAAATCGGTCCCACTGGGTGTGCCACTTGACGAAACTTGGATTTGTACGGTACTTAGGACGGGCGGCGATGATGATCTAGGCGGCGGCAAACGGCCTAAAACCTGCAAGACAGAGCCTCGGGTGTCTCCCGAGGGTAGACGCTCCAATGTTTAAGTCAGTAAAAGAATAGAGATAATAGAGAGAGAAGGATGTGTATCGTGTATAGAATGTGTAGGAGATAGGTAAAATATATGTATTATGGGAGATGCACCACCTCTTTATATAGAAGTGGTGTTACCTGTTTCCTGAAACCTAGTCGTATTAGGTTTAAGCGGTGATTTAATCTGCAAGCAACCTAATCCTAGGCCCAATAGGCCTAGAGTTAATTTATAACTCGTCAGAAACGAAAAAAATTACATTATTCATCCGTTAATTTTAACTTTGAACTCATATCTTGTCTTTTTCCATTAAAATCAATTTCTTTTGTTCCTCAACTTCAATAGTTAATTAAGAGATCAATAATGCATTTCTGCCGATAAGA